TTATATTATTATACAGGATTTATATAGTGTCAACAGTTTACGCAGCTCTTTACAATATAAGGGGGACAGTACAATTACAATACAGTTTGATATAGAAGAAATTGGAGGACCTGGTTTTGGAGCTTACAATCTAAAGCAGACGTCTCCAAACTGCGGCCCGAGGGCCAGGTGTGGCCCTTTGCTAGCCTTTATCTGGCCCTTGGGGCACTATATTCCTTCCAATGATAGCAATAATGGGGCACTACTCCTACTCCTATTGACCTCAGGCACTATGCAACTGAACACCACACCTAAGACCTTGTTTACTCACTGATGTTGACCCTGAGACTTTTTCTACTCCAGCTGGCCACAATCCGGGCCCCCTAAACTCTGAAAGACAGTATACTGGCCCTTTGAAAAGTTTGGAGACATCTGATCTAAAGGGAGGGGGAGGTGGTACAAAAGGTAATAGCTGCAGGGGATGATATGATGGAGGTGACTCAAGTACAGTTAGGTGGAGGTGGGGAAGGCTTTCCTGAATAAATGAGTTTTCAAGGATCGTCTAAAGGTGGACAGGGTAGAAGTTAACAAGACATACTGGGGCAGGGAGTTCCAGAGGATTGGAGAGGCTCTAGGGAAGTTCTGAAGGTGAGTGTTGGAGAAGGTAACAAGGGAATTGGAGAGCAGGAGGAACGGAGAGGACGGTTTGGGCGATGTCTGCAGATGAGGTTGGTGATGTAGCTGGGGGCAATATTGTGGATGGCCTTGTATGTTGTGGTTAGTATTTTGAGTTTTATACGTTGGGCTATTGGAAGCCAGTGAAGAGATTGGCAGAGAGGGCAGCAGTCGCAGATCAGTTAGTAAGGTGTATTAGTCTAGCAGTAATTTCTGTCTCGTGATGTTGCAGTCCAATAAATGTTGTGGGGATGTTTCCCACATTCTTTTTTTGTGAGTAATATATTTATATAAATGTTTTTGTGTCTGGAGTTCAACTTTAATTTCTAAAAAGTACATGAAAAGGTGAGCACACACACAGTACATCCATAAACAATGTACACATAGGCACAGTCATCCAAATTTCAGGGATCCATTTAGGTGGGTTTGGATTGGAAACTGCAGACAGAACTGGCAGATCTTTTGTCAGAGGTTTGTAGTACGAGATGTGTTTGAGGTCATCATTACAGCCTGAGAGCTGTGTATACTTTGCATACACTTTCACATGCAGAGATGGCAGCTTGGAAAAATTGACAATAATGGTAGAAGTCTTATGTGCTGCCAAACAAAACCAAATAAAAACCTAAAGAACACCAATGTATTAAAAAAATCTAAAGAAGCAGCAAGCACCCAAAAAGTGTTCCACCACTAAAAAGAATAAATACAAAAATAGTGCTGTGCTAACAAATATTGGAAATAATGTAAATTAAATGAATATAAATCCTCAAGCAATCAATAACAAATTCATCAATATTGTTAATGTCTATACCACTAAACATCTAATGTGAATGAGGTCCACATATAAAAACCTCAACACAGGTAATATAAAATATGGGACCAATAATAAACAGTGAAAAATATATATATATACAGTTGTGCTCAAAAGTTTGCATACCCTGGCAGAAATTGTGAAGTGTTGGCATTGATATTGAAAATTTGTCTGATCATGCCAAAAAATGCTCTTTTATTGAAGGATGATGATCATATGAAGCCATTTATTATCAAATAGTTGTTTGGCTCCTTTTTAAATTATAATGATAACAGAAATCACCCAAATGGCCATGATCAAAAGTTTACATACCCTGGAATGTTTGGCCTTGGTACAGACACACAAGGTGACACACACGGGTTAAAATGCCAATTAGAGGTTAATGTCCCACATCTGTGGCTTTTAAAATTGCAATTAGTGTCAGTGTATAAATAGTCAATGAGTTTGTTAGTTCTTACATGGAAGCACTGACTAGGCTAGATACTGAGCCATGGGGATCAGAAAATGAACTGTCAAAAGTCCTGCGTAACAAGGTAATGGAACTTTATAATGATGGAAAAGGACATAAAAAGATGTCCAAAGCCTTGATTATGCCAGTCATCACTTCCACTAAGAAGTATAAAATTCAGGGACCTCTTGATACCAAGCAAGTACAGGTAGACCAAGAAAGATTGCAGCCATAACTGCCAGAAGAATTGTTTGCAATACAAAGGGAAACCCATAGGTAACCAGAAGAAAAATACAGTCTGCTCTGGAAAAAGACAGTGTGGTTATTTTGAAGGAGCACCCCATGGCCACAGCTCAGCTTTGCACCCCCTGGCCACAACTCAGCTCTGCACCCCCTGGTCACAGCTCAGCTCTGCACACCCCTGGCCACAGCTCAGCTCTGCACCCCCCAGACACAGCTCAGCTCTGCACCCCCTGGCCACTGCTCAGCTCTACCCCCTGGTCACAGCTCAGCTCTGCACCCCCTGCCCACAGCTCAGCTCTGCATCCCATGTCTGCAACTCACCCCTGCACCCCTGTCTGTAGCTCATATCTGCACCCTGTCTGAAACTCACCTGTCAAGTCTCCCCTGCAACACCTGACTGCAGCTCACAACTGTCATCAGCCGGCCCTCTCCATAGTAACCCTCATCCACAAGTGCCTGCAGCTCACCTCTGCACCCCCTGTCCACACCTGGACATTTAAAAAATAAGACCTACCCCGAAAAAATAAAACCTAGTGTGTTTTTTTTGAGCCAAAAAAAATATAAGACAGTGTCTTATTTTCGGGGAAACACGGTACATAAGTGAACAAGAGAGAGGGAATCCTCCTAGTGCAGTAGAGTTAATTTTATTTAAAAAACCTTGAAAATGCAAGAAATACACTCACAAGGCAAAAGGGCTGCAAACGCCCACAAACAGCATAGTATTTTTGGAAACTAAGATGGCGGTGATCCCAGCCGCAACCGGAAATGACGTCACCACGCTTCCGTCCGACACATTGCGTCATGCATCATGTGACTACATCAGGGATCCCTGATCGACATTGAGGATTACTGCTATTTTTCACATTTGTGATGTGGGTCAACTTGTGAGGTGAGCATGCATGCCTGGTGATGGTGGATACCACACAAGCACAGTACAGGAGAAAAGTCAGTTTTTTTCTGCTATTCACCTTTTTGACCTTTTTTTGCACTGTTTTGATGATATATATTATATATATATATATATATATATATATATTTATTTTTTTTGTTTTCACTGTTTATTAGTCCCATATTCTATATTACCTGTGTTGAGGTTTTTATATGTGGACCTCATTCATACTAGCTGTTTAGTGGTATAGACACTGACACTATTGATGTATTTATTATTGATTGCTTGAGCATTTATATTTATTTAGTTTATATTATTATCAATATTTGTTAGCGCAGCGCTATTTTTGCATTTATTCAGCTTAGAAAAATTGAACTCACATTTCCACACTGCCATCTGCTGGTCATATAGTTTGGCTAGTACAGAAATGCTCAGTTTCGGGGAGATTTACTAAAACTGGAGAGTGCAAAATCTGGTGCAGCTCTGCATTGAAATCAGCTTCCAGGTTTTATTGTAAAGCTTATGTGAAAAAGCTGAAGTTAGAAGCTGATTGGCTACCACTCACAGCTGCACCAGATTCTGAGTGCTCTAGTTTTGGTAAATCCCCCCTGCATGTTTCTTGTGGGCCACGTGTTTGTGGAGTGTTTCAACACCCCCAATAAAGAACGCATATTATTCTTGGGATTATTACATATACAAGTTGTGTACCTCTATTTTAGATCTAACCTAAAGTGGACCTTCACCCAAACATAAAATTCCTCCTCCTAATCTTCATAACTCCTCGCAACCCCAGAAATCAAATTTTTTGGGGGGTGAGGGAGGTGGGAATGTCATTGTCTCTCTCTGACCCCGTACCCTCACCCCACCTGCAGCCTCCATGTCACACACCACATTAGACTACAGGGCTAGTCTTACAGCATGTCACTGTCTCACACATGCAGGCTGTGGTATAAGGGGGTACCACCAGTTCTCCTGTATGTACAGGGGGTCAGTTTCAGTAATAGCCCCCCCTCTACTGCACCCTGCACCTTCCCTGTGCACCATACATTTTTCCCTGTTGCCCAGACCCCCTGTGATAACCCACCCCTGCAGTGCTGTCAGCTTCGCAATAGGATCCTTGAGGCTGTAGAAAGGGGGAAGGGACCGGTAAATATGTCACATTTATCAGAACCTTCCTTTCATGAATGTACACAATGAATGATCAGTACCGATCACTCACTGTGTTCAATCATAACTGAAGCATAGTAAACTATTTTTATTTTTTTGGGGGGGGGGGGCTGTCAGGTTGGCTGCATGGAGCCCCATGGTTTTTTGATTTTTAACAGCAGTCCTGCCCACATGTGCAGTAAAGGGGGGGGGGGGGGAGCAGCTGTCGGTGATCAGGAAATGACAGCCATTTCCCAAAGCCAAGGTCCTTGCACAGCAGCCTGGAAAAACATTTACCAAGTTGAAGTAGTACTGAACTTTATGGGCTGGAAAGTATCTGTTTTTCATTTTGGGTTGTCCCCAGAACAGGAATAGAGGGGAAAACTTCCAGTTATTAGTGAACTGGGGGGTCCAGGTCTAGTTTTAGTGACCTGGGGGGACCCAAGGGATTCCAATAATTTGCAGGGATTTCATCTCACTACCTGTTTTGGCTATGGGACAAGAAGGAAGTTTCCGCTCTAATTCATCCCAATGGTGTTCTGTTGGGTTGAGGTCAGGACTCTGTGCAAGACAGTCAGTTCCTCCACCCCAAACTCGCTCATCCATGTTTTTATGGACCTTGTTTTGTGCATTGGTGCGCAGTCATGTTGGAACAGGAAGGGGCCATCCCCAAACTGTTCCCACAAAGTTGGAAGCATGAAATTGTCCAAAATGTCTTGGTATGCTGACGCCTTAAGAGTTCCCTTCACTGAAACTAGGGGGCCAAGCCCAACCCCTGAAAAAACAACCCACACCATGATCTCCCCTCCACCAAACTTTACACTTGGCACAATGCAGTCAGGCAGGTACCTTTTTCCTGGCAACTGCCAAACCCAGACATATCCAGATGGCCAGATAGACAAGCATGATTCCCTGCTCCAGAGAACACTTCTCCACTGCTCTAGAGTCCAGTGGCGGCATGCTTTACACCACTGCATCCAACGCTTTGCATTGCACTTGGTGATGTAAGGTTTGGATGCAGCTGCTCGGCCATGGAAACCCATTCCATGAAGCTCTCTACTGTTGTTGTGCTAATCTGAAGGCCACATGAAGTTTGGAGGTCTTTAGCTATTGACTCTGCAAACAGTTGGCGATTTCTGTGCACTGTGCACTTCAGCATGCACTGACCCCGCTCTGTCATTTTACGTGGCCTACCACTTGGTGGCTGAATTGCTGTTGTTCCCAGTTGCTTCCACTTTGTTATAATACCACTAACAGTTGACTGTGGAATATTTAGTAACAAGGAAATGTCACGGATGGACTTACTGCACAGGTGACAACCTATCACGGGGCCACGCTTGGAGTCACTGAGCTCCTGAGAGCGACCCATTCTTTCACAAATGTTTGTAGAAGCAGTCTGCATGCCTAGGAACTTGATTTTATACACCTGTGGCAATGAAGGTGATTGGAACACCTGAATCCAATGATTTGGAGGGGTGTCCCAATATTTTGGGCAATATAGTGTATTTCTCTCAAAACAGTTTTTCAGTTTAGTGTCCTTTTTTTTTTTTTTTAAATTGATGCCATTTCCCCAGTAGATGTTATATACACAACTTATCACTCCATGAGTGGAAACTACTTGCTTATGTACTGGTGAATCACGACTATGAAATATTAACTCAATGAGCTGCTGTTTTCACTAAACAAAAAAAGACAAATAATATGAGTCACAAGGATATCCTCATAAAAACAGCGCTTCACCTATCAGAGCCATAATAGTTTGCTTGCAGTGATACCAATGATGAAACACATAGTAATAAAAGGCCAGAATAAATAAAAAAAATGTATAATAAATCTTCCACCAAAGTGTAGTAGAGTGAAATTAGGGTAAAGTCCACCACATAGATCTTTTTTAAGGAAAGTCTCTATAATTCCTATAGATCCGCTCCAACAACACCGTGTTTCTTAGATGACAATCTCCCCATCAGACTACACACTCACCAGAACATGGTGTTAATTAGGCAAAACAATAATCCTCCTCTTGGTCCCGCAATCTCTACCACAAATAATAGGTCCAATTGATCCTGTTCATAAATATAAAGCACAAATGAACCACATAGCGTATTTCTGTTTCTAAATTTTATTCCATATTAACCCCCTTAAAATATCACCCACATAAAGATAAATTAGATTTGGATGAAAAAAAATAGTAGGAGCACTTGTCACCGTATGTAATAACCCGCTGGCGTCTCACACTTCTGTGCACAGCCCAATGTTCCATTTCTGGGTAGGAGAGACAATGTCTGATATCACGTATGGTCACGCCCTGATGCGTTTCGTCATCACAACTTCCTCTGAGGGCTGTGCACAGAAGGGGGTTAATATGGAATAAAACCTTGACTGTGACCATACGTGATGTCAGATGTTGCCCCTCCTACCCGGAAGTGGAACAGCAGGCTGTGCACGGAAGTGTGGTGAGACGCCAGCGGGTTATTACATGCGGTGATAAGTGCTCCTACAATTTTATTTGATGCAAATCTTATTTATCTTTATGTGGGTGATATTTTAAGGGGGTTAATATGGAATAAAATTTATAAACAGAATTACGCCATGTGTGGTTCGTTTGAGTTTTATATTTATGTTCAAATATTTTTATTGAAACAATTTTCAAGACAATTACAAACAATTTAATCATATATGAGCGTTCACATAGAGAGATATTAGATTATTACATCCGTCAGAAGATGTCTATTTACCCCTCTGGAGGGTAGTAGGTGTGCATATTAAAAAAAAGACAGAAAGTATAGTAATTGAAAGTATCTTATGAGGTATTCTCATTCTATGTGAATCAATTGTTTTAACAAGTAAATTGGAGGGTAGTAGGGTGGTGGTAGTATGAGGGGAGGGGAAGGGGAAGGGAAGGAAAGTACCAGTCTCGCTTTGTAAGAATAATGTGGGGGTATCATGTCAGCATGATATTGAGCAGTTAGGATTTCTGAACCATCCGGACCAATGACTTTGGAATTTATAGAATGGGAAATTTTGGATCGATGTTCTTTTTTCCATCTTTCCGTGCCAGTTAAGTTCAGTGATGAGGTTTGAAAAAGAAGGAACTGTATTAGATTTCCATAGTTTAGTGATGTTATTTTTAGCTATTGTGAGGATATGGATGATAATGGTGCATGAGTTGTGTGGGAGGCTATCAATTCCTAAGTGGAGGAGAGCCAGAGAGGGAGCCGGTGTTACTGGGTATTCTGCTATTTCGGATATAAGTTTGAAAACTTTGATCCAATAGGATCTGAGAGATTTGCAGGACCATAGCACATGAAGAGTGGTACCTAGTTCCCCGCATTGCCTCCAGCATAAGGGAAAGCTTTGGGGGGTAGTAGAGGGCTAGTTTGGTAGGTGTGAAATACCATTGATGTAGTACTTTTAAATACGTCTCCCAATGGGTGCTGCATTTGGAGGCTTTATATGTAATAACAAACGTTTTTTACCATGTAGACTGTGGTGTAGATTGTTGTATAATTTTCTCCCAGTTGTGGAGAGAGGAAGAGCTTTATATTTATGAACCGGACCAATTGGACCCATTATTTGTGGTGGAGATTGCAGGACCAAGAGGAGGTCTTTTTGTTGTGCCTAATTAACACCAGGTTCTGGTGAGTGTGTAGTCTGATGGAGAGATTGTCATCTAAGCGGATCTATAGGAATTATAGAGACTTTCCTTAAAAAAGATCTATGTGGTGGACTTTATCCTAATTTCACTCTACTACACTTTGATGGAAGATTTATTCTATATTTTTTTTATTTATTCTGGCCTTTTATTACTATGTGTTTCATCAGTGGTATCACTGCAAGCAAACTATTATGGGTATGATTATGATGTTTTTATGAGGATATCCTTGTGACGCATATCATTTGTCTTCACCAGTAGATGGCGCGCTCAGCAAACAAATGCTTTCAAGTGTAACCCTTTGTTTTAGAATAAGGGAGAGTTCACCCAAACTTGAGAGTTATTGGTTAATGCTTTCTAAATCATTATGTGTATCTAGACCCAAAATATATGTCCTAAAAAAGTTTTATATATCGCACACAGAAAATAGTCTACATTACTACTTTGGAAAGAATGTTCCAGATGTCACAATTAGAAAATGGGCTCTTAAAGGGTAACTCCACCTTCATAGGAAAAAAAATTGCAAATAAAAACTTATATGTGGCATATACAATTGTGGCACAAGTCATATTGTAATTGAATGTTATTTTTTTATATAAAATGACCTTTCCTTTTCAAACTGCCGCTGTAATTATCTGTAAAATTCAATGCAATATGGTGCAATTTTGGTGAGATACTTTCAAAGGGAAATCACACCTACATGGATGCAGACCCTGCCACTTTCCTTAGTAGAACCCTGCAAGTGCAAAGGTGAATTAATAATTATAATATAATATACTGTATCACTACCATACAGATTCACTCTGCACATGGACACAGACAAACAGCTAATTATTCAGAATAACAAAAGGTAGGAATCTGCAGTTTTTAAAAATCCCTGCAATGTACATAGATCTCCCAGAGGAGAATGTTTTTTCTCAACAAAGATGGAGTTACCCTTTAAAACATATTAACAGAAAAATATGTTTAAATTTAAACATTTTATCCACAATACAATGTCAGTTTTGTAATGCTATATACTTATCAATCAGCACAAAACTAACCATATAAATCCCACTCTTAAAGAAAAGTCACTCACTCACTTCCGCCCTCGAAACAAATACTAAATCAAATACCCATACAAATAATGTCCCCAATGTCCTAAATCACCATATGTAATTCCATATAATAAAGTCTTTTTTTCTTCTTTCAAAATGAATCTCTCTCTCAATTCGTGAAGTTTCCAATGATCATATACATCGAAAAAACAAACTCAAGTTAGTGTCATACCCTTTATAAAATAAATATGTGCCATTCACTGTGAATTATGCAAAACACATAACTAGTGCAAAAAAAAAAAAATAAATAAATAAATAAATATATATTATATCTACATATATATTATATAAATCCTCCAAATGTGAAATCACTCCAATTGTGTCCACTGCAACAAATCAGTGACTCACTCAAATAATGTGTATAGCCACACTATATACAAAACAGTGGTCACCTTAGACCTACAAAATCACAATATAACACTCAAACTCGTGTAGCAGTGAATAATTACCCTATAAGTATATCAGAAGGGCATATCATAAGCTAAGATGACATCTTTCTCCAGGATCCAACTCAGTCCTTAGATTTCTCCTCCATTTCCCTCATAAATAAATCCACAATTAGATATGGTGGATAAAATATAATACTTATTTATTCAGCAACTTACATTCAAAATTGGAGAAAACAGCTCCTCATGACAGAGACAATTCCACTATGTGTTTGTGTTCCACATGTTCCCACTTCCAAAATGGCCACGATCGCACTTCCGGTGGACGTCGATGCGTCAGACGTCACATGTCCCTGACACGTTTCGTCACTTCCTTGACTTTTTCTTAAGGGGTCAGAATCCTGACGAAGCTGCGTGAAGCAACGTGGTGACGTACTTCCGGTCCCGGCGCCATCTTGGTACTCCAGAGACCCAGCAGTACACCCATGGATTGTGTCTATAATGCTTTGTAAACTTCCAGCTAAAAGTGAGTGTGCACTTGGCGTTTTTTGCTTACAAATAAATGTAAGAAGCAGTATTACACTATGGAGGATTTCTTGTGTTCTCATTGCATGGTCCATATATATATGAGTCAATAAGCTTATATACTGGTGTCTGGTCGTGGAGGATAAGTGGAAGGAGGAGGAGGGAGTCTTTTTGGAGCCAACAAAGTCACTTCTAACTTGGATAACTAGTAGGATCCTGGAGTGATCCAAGAGGCTTTTTGACCCCTGCGGGTCGCAGGGGGAAGGTGAGCGGGCACGCTAGCCACTATAGACTGCTGATCGTCCCTCACATACGCCTCTTCTTCTTCTGCTTTAACCTCGGGTTCTATGTTGATTGGATCTTCACTCTAAATCAAGAAAATGAGAGAAAGTATCATCTGTAAAATAGTGGCTATTTCCAAACGTGGCAACACTATCAAGCAGTGAGGGGCATTTGACCAGATCTAACCAGACCCAAATAAGGATCCTTGATGTCCTGAGATTATCTACTTTAAATGCACATTGAGATTGCGTATCTGGTGAGTGCGCAATCCTTATATATCCATCACCTCATCCACGGATCCAGCCATTGGATTGTTTGAAGATCATTTGGGATCTTTTCTGCTCACGCTATAGACTGTATTTTGGTCTAGTGCCCAATCACCTATAGTCACCATTAGGTGACACTTTTACTTGCACCTTGATATTGTTTTATTATACTGTTTTATTCTATTTTTTGCATAAAGATGTCTATATGT